TGGACCTCCCCCCCGAACTCGCTGGCGATCTCGCTGGCGGCCTCGCGGGCGGCGCTGGCCGTGGGGTGGGGGATGGTGGTGGGGCGACCCCCCAGCTGCGCCTGCAGCACCGCTGCCTTCAGCCGGCGCCGCTCCAGCTGCTGCTCCCTCTCAAAGTTCCAGACCATGGCCTCCTCCGGGCTCCAGGCGAAGGTGCACTGGCTCTTGTGCTTGCTGCAGCCCAGCCCCACCACGTAGTACCTGCAGACGGCGTAGCGGGCCGGGTTGGGGAAGCCTGGCCGCCTGGACACCTTCCTCCAGGCCGTGCTCCAGCGGCTGCGGCAGCGGGCCAGGAGGATCTCATACATGCACTTGTGCTCCACCTCTCGCAGCTGGTAGGTGATCTCGTTCTCCTTCACACTGCACTTGGAGCAGACCAGGCGCAGCTCCAGCTGCTGCTGGCGGCTGCCCAGCGACACCGCTGGGCCGTTTGCCATCGGCATCCTTGGCGGTGCCTTGAGCGGAGCAAAATTAAACGGCGGGAAGTTCCTACAAGGCGATGCCGGGGGGAGGAGGCGCCATGGAGCATCCGTGTACTAGCTCGCTACGTACCTGCCAGCCATTGGTGCGAGTTCACAAAGCCTGACAAAGAAACGAGGAACAAGCGACTTAGCAGGAAACATCAGCTGGTCCCCGGCTGGGCGCGTGCCGAGGCACTGGCACAGCCTGGCCCCGCTCACCAGCAAGCGGCCAGGAACCTCGCCCAGCGCCCAAACCCACCAGACACCCTTGCCCTCGGCACCCAAGCGCCTGGGGTCTGCCCCCACCCGCTCACCCAGCTCCATTCACCCGCCAGCCCAGGTCCCAGGGGACCGTGTCCCGCAGGGACCAGGCTGCTGAGCAGCGAGGGATCCTGGCGGGGCTCAGCTTGGTCTCCGGCGTGCCACAGCCTGCAGACCATCGGCATTTACCGCCCAACGCAGGAGAGCCGGCTGCAGCAGAGGCTGCACCCGAGGGGCTGGGACGGGGCCCCCA